ATTTTTTTTTTTTTTTTTTTTAGGACACAGGCTCTCCATAGGCCCAGCATCTCTGGGTCTTTTTATCTTTCTGAGCTCTGCATCTATCACTCCATTCTGGGTTTAGATGATAGAGCCACCAAGTCTGGAGGAATTTACTTTCCTTATAAACTAATGTTTTTATCCCTTTAATGATTACTGTCATGGATTACTGTTTAATGTTTGTAGAAAATAAAATTTCCTTTGAAATAGACCTTTAAATCCATACTGGGAACTAGGGTGTGGTAACAAAGGCCACTAATCTCTACTTTGGCAACTGAGGTGGTAGGATTGAAAATTAGGCCAGGGTGGGTTACTTGGTAATAAGAAAAAAAAGTGGGTGGAATCGCAACACTTAGTCTTCGAAGGAGGATCCACAGGTGCTGGCTAGTCTGGAATATATAAGGAGACCTGTGTCTATGTAAAATACAGTAAAAGAGCTGGGAATGTAGCTTAGTGGTTTGTCTATAACAGGCCAGAAAGTAGGCTTAAAACCTAGTGTCAAAGCAAAAAACAATATAAAGACTTTAGAGTATGTATATTTCTGTTAGGTTTTTCTTTCTTGTTTTGCGACAAATTCCACTCTAGTGTTGTATATAGCCTGAAAATCACTGTGTAGATTAGATTTACCTCAAACTGAAGGTAACTGTTTTACTCCTGCCTATAAGCGCTAGAGATACAAGATAGGGCCAGTTGTTTGTTTTATAAAGATATGGAATTCTCTGTAGCATAGCCTGTCTTTGAAGTGAAAATAGTCTTGCCTCACTCTTCTCTCATGGTACTACAGGCTGGAGTCACAATGCCAATCATCTGTAATAGTTCAAGGTTACAGAGGAATGCAATATAGCAATGGTAGAATTAGTTTGATATTACCAAGGGATCAAGCGGGGCTACTGCCCAAAAGAACGCTCAAGCCGGGCGTGGTGGCACACGCCTTTAATCCCAGCACTTGGGAGGCAGAGGCAGGTGAGTTCAAGGCCAGCCTGGTCTACATAGAGAGTTCCAGGCCACCTAGAGCTACAGGGAGACCCCATCTCAAAAAGACCAAAAAAAAAAAGCTCAATCAGAAGGGGAGGCAGAGTGGGGCTTATAAAACCTAAAATCACAATTACATCATTGCAGTGGCAGAACCAATAACCATAATTACATCAGATCATCATAATTCCACAAGATCAAGGGTAGGTCAGTAAACAAAGGCATTAGTTAACAAAAGGTTTCCTTTAGGAAAAAACAAGTTTCTCTGAATTGCTAAGATAGTGGGCTCCATGGTGATGCAGGTATAGCTGGGTAAGAGGTTGACCTGCCAGGCTAGTTGGGGGTGTTCCAGTATTGTAGAAACAATGTACCCCCTGAAACTATGGGTGCAGCCTGCATGAGATGTTCTGGCTGTCTGGCTGCAGTTGGCAAGCCTGAACGGGGGAGGTGGGGTGCCAGAAAAACAGGGTAATGCAAAGTCAGTTAGAACAAAATGGAATCAGCTTTGCTATTTCAGCTTACATGAAGCATTGTGGAAGTCCAGTCCTACAGACAAGGAGTGTAGGTCAATATGCAATCCCAATGCTCCTGAAGGGGAGGCAGGAGCATTTTGAAATTCAGTCCATTCCTGGCTGCAAGACGAATTCTACTAATGAGCAACACAATAGCTTAAAACAAAACAAAGTTAAGCTGATGTTAGAGTTCTTTTTCTTATCCATTTCTTTTCCTAGATTCCCATGCAATATGGAAGTCCTCTGTCAATTCAACATCTTTGCTCCAGGACACACAGCTGCTTTTAAAACACTTTACTTTAGCTTCAATTATGCCCTGTTGACTACATCTTATGGTGTAGTCCAGTCTACCATCAAAAACGCATTTCCCCGTTTCATTGTCCCAGATATTGAGACACAAGCATAATCATTACTGTTTCTAAAGGTCCTGCAAATAAAAGTAAAGGTGCCTTTTCACAGATTCTCACCACTTGTTTAAAGCCGTGTTCCATTCACTGAATGTAGACTGTGGGAAGGGTGAATGGGGAACCTTTCGTTTGTCCTTTCAGGCAATGAGAGATAATCAGTAATGGTTCACCCTGAAATGACAGGTCTCAGATTTCATAATCTAGGTACCCTCTTCCCAGAAGACTAGGATTCAGAGGAACAGTGGTTGGAATTGGTGGGGTGATGGGGAAGTACATCACAGGAGCGACTGAGAGTCCACCATGTTGCCAGGCAAATGGGAAAAAGGAAGCTTTCCATCACTGTCAGTTGTGACTGCCAAGAGTTCATTCCCAATGAGGGAGGAAAAGGTTTTCTCAAGCCTTTGACTGAAAGATGTCTTTTTTCTAATTGCTTCTCTAGGATCAGTCTCTCTGAAGATTCATCAGGATGAGTGCCGAGGCCCCATCCACACTCTGGGATCTGGCAGTGCAGAGCCTGCTAAGGAGTGAGGCCTTGGACATATCTGATCTGGAGTACTTGCCCGAGAAGTTCTTTCCTCTACTGCTCAAGGAGGCCTTCACCGGCAGTCACAGTAAGAGCGTGAGGGTGATGGTGGCAGCCTGGCCCTTCTCCTGCCTCTGCTTGGGAGACCTGATAAAAACCCCTCTGAACATGGAGACCTTCCTGGCTGTGCTGGATGGACTGGATTTGCTGATTACTCAGAAGGGTCGACCTAGGTGAGCAATCCCAAGGTAGTGTGGAGGGGACGCCATGTGGGTACAGAGAATGGAAAATAGGGATCAGAAGTAGGTGGTTCAAAGGGATAAGAGGCTTCTGATGGACAGCAGAGGCCTGAACAATTACTGAGCCATCTGGAAAAGGAGTTTCATGTGTGCGGGAGAGCGTAGAAGAGATCCAGGATGAGGAACTGAACTAATCCCTGCCTCTCACAGGCAGTAGATGTGGGACCAATTTGTACTGAAGAAGAATGGAATCTGCTAGAAGTTAGAGATGTATCTGAGACGAATACTCCTTCCTATATGTACTTGAGGCTCTGGGTTTAAAAAATATAAAATAGTACTGGAGAACTGGCTCAAAGGTTAAGAGCACTGGCTACTCTTGCAAAAGACCTGGGTTTGAATCCCAGCATGCACATAGAGGCTACAACCATCTGTCACTCCGGTTCCAGGGAATCAGACTCCCTTTTCTGTCCTTGGGCACTGCATGACAGGGTTGCATTTACACATGAAAGTGTAACAGGAATTCACATAAAAATATGAATAAATGAATAAAAATACAAAAAATATATAGATGGGTATGATGGCAAATACCTTTAATCCCAGCACTTAGGAGGCAGAGTAGGTAGATCTCAGTGAGATCCTGTCAAAAAAAAAGAAAGAAAAAGAAAGGAAAAGAAAATTTACAAGACATCAGGGAAAGGAAGAGCTGAGACAGGCAACCATGTCTGATGGTGAGCTGAGTCATCATTCTCTGAGGTTTTTACCTGTTTGACCCACAGAAGGTGGAAACTGGAAGTGCTGGATTTGCGCAATGTGTGGCCTGGAGCAGGGCGTGAGGACTGCTACTCCCCACGGTTCCTGAATAAGACACAAACCGTGGAGAGTCACGCAGAATGTGGAGGGAAGCAGACTTTGAAGGTGGTGTTTGACTACCGCCTCCAGTGGCAGAGGCATATGACTGAACAGCAAGAATGCTTCATCCAGTGGGCCCAGTACAGAAAGTCTTTCCTGCATCTGTGCTGTCAGAAGCTACAGATTGCTTGGGCAAGTGACTACAATTTCCCAAAGCTCCTGAGATTATTTGAGCCAGAATGCATACAGGAAGTGGAAGTGAATACCTGCTTGGAACTGAAAACCCTGGCCACCTTTGCCCCTGTCCTGGGCCAGATGAGAAATCTTCACAAACTCTTTCTCAAAGGAACTTGCAAGTCATGGAGGGACGAGTTTGAAGACGAGTATAGGGATCTGGAAGAGACATGGATCAACGCGTTCATTTCTCAGTTCCCCAAACTTCAGACTCTCCAGCATCTCTGTATGCATAATGTATATTTTCTTGAAGGCCACCTGGACCAGGTGCTCAGGTAAGGAAGGATGGAGAGCTGTCTCTGCAATCCAATGTTTCTTTGTTATCTCAACATTAATGGATACCAGTGATTTCCCAGCCACTGTGGAGTTATCTGTGCTAAGGAAGCAGGTATGGGGAAAATGGCTCTTTCGAGGGTGGGAGAACTCACATGGATGTTCCCTAGATGAGCTCTGTGCTCAGATCTGTGTGAATAGGCATCAGTCTGCCTTTAATTCCCTGTGCGTGAAAAGCTGTTCTGAGCCAAGGTCTGAGTACATGGGAAATGTGTGACACTGGGGTTGCTGATTAGGGGAAGGGAAGAAACATTGTACAGAGACAGACTGTGGAGAGGCAGCGAGCCCCATAGTGGACACACCCAAGGATAGTGCTGGATGTTCATAGATTGGTCCTTCTGGGCTTTTCATGTTGATCTTTTCTGACCAGCGCTGTGGTTTTCTGCTTGACAGTGTGGAAAGGGAGCTTCAGAACTGTGGACTGTGCCAGTCACAAAGTGATGGGGTGACTCTCAGCCTAGAATGAGATGACTTGAGTGAGCACACTTTCCATCAGGGAACATGCTGGGTTTTACCCTCATCACTTGGTCAGAATGACCTTGACCCTTAATGTTCTTGATTACTTTGTTGTCATAATCTCCCACCTACCACTCTGAAAAACCTTCAAGAACTAATTTTCTTTGTCTCTTCCCAGGTACTTGAAAAAGCCTTTGGAGACCCTCTCACTTACTTGGTGCAAGCTTTCAGAGTCAGACTGGCATTATCTGTCTGAGTGTCCTCATATCTCTCAGCTCAAACACCTGAAACTGAGTGGTGTCCTACTTTTTTATGGGCATAGTCGGCCCCTCAAAGACCTACTAGAAAGACTGACAACCACTCTACAGACCCTAGAATTGGAAAACTGTCTTTTGAGGCCGCCTGACCTCAGTGGCCTCCTGCCTGTTCTGAGCCTTTGCTCCCAGCTCACCATGGTCAATTTCTATGAAACTAATCTCTCTGTGCATGACCTGAAGAACCTGTTACTACACACCACCAGTCTGAGCCAGTTGACACTGGAGCTGTATTCTCTGCCTCGCGAGTGTTATGAAGAGGGTGATGTCCTCATAGAGAGATCGAGCAGGGTCTGTACTGAGCTCATGGACACACTGAGGGCTGTCAGGCGGCCCAAGACAGTACGCTTTGCATCCTATATCTGCTATAGATGTAAATCTGAAAGCTTCCTGTATGACCTGGGGATCAGTCTCTGTCAGTGCTTGCAGTAAATAATGAAAGGCTAATTCTGTACACCAAGAAATGAAAAGAAATAAGGCTCAGGTGTATCATTAGGAGACGGAGTCTGTGGTTTCAAACTATTCAATGTGTGTGGGGCAAAAAGATGGTGCAGGGGGTTGGGCTTAATTAGAGGGTGGACAGTGAGATGGAGAACAATGAACCCATGGGGACGTTTTTCCTATGGAGTTGGAAAGATAGTTCAGAATTTCCAAACGTGACTCCTGGCAAGATGGGAATTTGCAATGGTAGTGATCATGTAGTGGTAGTGATCAAAATCTGTAACCTATCCAGGTTACCTCACTCTCTTCCCTCTGTGGCCCATTAACCTGCACTCAGCTTCAAGTTCAGAAAGCAGTACAGCTTTGCTTGAGAGTCCCTTACAAACTCTTCATTTTTATTAGTTCTTTGACAAGTTCTTACGTGTCTTGATGCATTGTGATTACCTTCTCCCTTTGGAGAAGACATAGAAAAGAAAAAGAAAATAAAAACATTGCAGAATTTGGTTTTGAGCTGTATCTGATTATGCATGCTTCTAAACATAGAGGTGGAGAAGAGGATCAGGAATTCAAGGCCTTCTGTGGCAGATTAGAGAGTTCCCGGCAAGTGTGGAATGCAGGAAATCCTGTCACAGAGAGAGATGGTGCCAAAGGCTCAGTCAGTGGTGTCTTGTAGAGCCAGTGAAGACCACAGGAGTATCCTGGGCCATTGCTGAGCACATCTGGGAAAGGGCTTCCATATGTGTAGGACTTCTCCTGAGGGATGCAGGGATGGGTAAAGGCTCCTGTCCCTACCTCTTCCCACAGGCAGAAGAGAGACCACATTGAGTTTGAGGGACAGGATGGTGAGAAGTACAGCAGTTTATGGCTGTTTCTCATGCCCACATGAGGCCCTTGAAGGACTCTTCAGCAGCACGAAACAAAAAGGAGAGATAGTGAGGAGGAAGTAAAGGGGGAACAGGTGATGTGAGGAAAAACATTGTATGTTGGTTATTTCTGTAAATTCTGAGATGCCCTCATGTTATGCCCACAAGTGGTGAAAACTGCAGGAGCTGGATTGGTGGGAAGTGCATCACATGGTCTATGATGATCTCACTAGGGATGAGGATCCACGAACATTCTGGAGGCTGAGGCAGGAGGATGTAAATTTCAAAACCAGTCTGGGCACATGTTGAGACCCAATATTAAAAATCGAAAAGAGGAGGCTGGAGAGGTGGCTCAGCAGTTAAGAGCACTAGTGGCTGCTGTAGACGATCCGGGTTCAGCTCCCAATGCCCACATGGCAGATAAAAACTGTCCATAACTCCAGTTCCAGGGAATCCAACACCCTTTTCTTACCTCCACAGGCATTGAGCAACTTATATACATGTAGGCAAAACACTCAATCATAAAATAAAAATAATAAATTAAAAAAAATTAAAACGAACATGGCATGGTGGCATACACCTTCAGTGCAATACTTGAGAGGCAAAGGTACCCAGACATGTGTGGGTTCAAGGCCAACCTACATGTCCCAGGTCAGTCATGCTTGCATACGGCAACTTTGTCACAAAATAAATACTTTCTGGAAAGCCGAAACAGGCAGAAGAGGGACAGTAATTATATCCACAGTAGTATATAAACCAGGTTTTGTGGTACTTAGCTGTAATCCCAGGAGAATTCAGAGTTCAAATTCCTCCTGAGCTACATGGGAACTTCAAGGCTGTTCTGAGTCATTTCTCTATGACAGAGAGAGAGAGAGAGAGAGAGAGAGAGAGAGAGAGAGAGAGAG